AATACACGTTTAGCTTTTACTTAGAAGTGTATGAGAGAAATCATAAAAAATGTGTTGTTTTCATTATCAACCATTTAAAATCAATAGTTTATCATAAGTCATTAATGCAAGTCCTAACTGCTCAGATGACGCTTTTAAGACGGCAAAGTCTTTCTTAAGACTGCAAATTCTTTGTTAACAACAAACAAAGGGAAAACAATTATATGTTTTGACATACGGAATTCTTTTTTTTATTCATACTTAGACTTGTGCAAATATATGTTGGAGAGGGTAGGTCCGAATCAAACTCCTTCCAGTACATGCCTGAATGTGTCGATGAATAAACTGTAAAGGTAAATTCAAAGCAGTCGTTATGTTTGGCTGTGGATTCCAGTTATGGTACCAGGTCAACCTCCCCAAACATTATTTTGCACAAGACTATTTAGAATTAATTTCTCCTCTGCACATTTTTACTTTATTTTCAACATGGTGATAGCATGCAGAATATGAGAAAGAAAAAGAAATCCTACATGTGCTTTTCCAACATATATTTGAACCACAAATTTCTCCTAAACCAACAAAGCCCTTATCAACAATTAAGAAATGAATGGACATTTTAAGTCTTCCCCAGCAATTTGACCTGAAGCAGACTCAACTTTGACAACAGTCAATATGATTTATCACCATTTTACATAAACCTCAACTGTTAATTCACCCATACAATGACTGACTTGTACATGTTGAAATGTTGAAATGTTAGGGTTACATAAAAAAAAAAAAAAAATATGATTGTGAATCTACTCCTTTTTTTCCCCACCTCTTCAAATCCACATGTTATGATAAATCAGTCCTGCTCTTATGTTGCCCGACCTGCTCAAATCCCTCCTTCAAATTAGAAATGTAAGATCAGACATATAAATAATATTGGAAAAATAGATCCTATTGCGGAATTTTAAAATCCCCACTTCAAAATGAAAACTTTGTGGCTATTTTGGGAACACAAACGCTGTCTGGTGCGTTAGCCTGGCAATTTTTTCCTAAAGCCCCAAGGGAAGTGTATTGGCTCGTTGGTCTAGGGGTATGATTCTCGCTTTGGGTGCGAGAGGTCCCGGGTTCAAATCCTGGACGAGCCCAAGCATTCTGTGGTTTTTCTTTTGAAACACATAGCTTCGAACTGTGTTTAATATAGTCAGCAAAAATAACTTATAGCAAAACCCTTCAAGTGCTTCAAAGAGAAGATGTTGGCATGCCACCATCAATTTATATATATATATATATATATATATATATATATATTTCCTGGTGCTTGTGATATCACCTTTCAAATCTAACATCTTATATTAATACACGTTTAGCTTTTACTTAGAAGTGGATGAGAGAAATCATAAAAAATGTGTTGTTTTCATTATCAACCATTTAAAATCAATGGTTTATCATAAGTCATTAATGCAAGTCCTAACTGTTGGATGACGCTTTTAAGACTGCAAAGTCTTTCTTAAGACTGCAAATTGTTTGTTAACAACAAACAAAGGGGAAAACAATTATATGTTTTCACATACGGAATTCTATTTTTATTCATACTTAGACTTGTGCAAATATGTGTTGGAGAGGGTAGGTCTGAATCAAATTCCTTCCAGTACATGCCTGAATTTATCGATGAATAAACTGTAAAGGTAAATTCAAGGCAGTCGTTATGTTTGGCTGTGGATTCAAGTTATGGTACCAGGCCAACCTCCCCAAACATTATTTTGCACAAGACTATTTATAATTAATTTCTCCTCTGCACATTTTTACTTTATTTTCAACATGGTGATAGCATGCAGAATATGAGAAAGAAAAAGAAATCCTACATGTGCTTTTCCAACATATATTTGAACCACAAATTTCTCCTAAACCAACAAAGCCCTTATCAACAATTAAGAAATGAATGGACATTTTAAGTCTTCCCCAGCAATTTGACCTGAAGCAGACTCAACTTTGACAACAGTCAATATGATTTATCACCATTTTACATAAACCTCAACTGTTAATTCACCCATACAATGACTGACTTGTACATATTGAAATGTTGAAATGTTAGGGTTTATTAAAAAAAAAAAAAAAAAAATATGATTGTGAATCTACTCCTTTTTTTCCCCACATCTTCAAATCCACATGTTATGATAAATCAGTCCTGCTCTTATGTTGCCCGACCTGCTCAAATCCCTCCTTCAAATTAGAAATGTAAGATCAGACATATAAATAATATTGGAAAAATAGATCCTATTGCAGAATTTTAAAATCCCCACTTCAAAATGAAAACTTTGTGGCTGTTTTGGGAACACAAACGCTGTCTGGTGCGTTAGCATGGCAATTTTTTCCTAAAGCCAAATGGGTAGTGTATTGGCTCGTTGGTCTAGGGGTATATTTCTCGCTTCGGGTGCGAGAGGTCCCTGGTTCAAATCCTGGACGAGCCCAAGCATTCTGTGTTTTTCTTTTGAAACACGTAGCTTCGAACTGTGTTTAATATAGTCAGCAAAAATAACTTATAGCAAAACCCTTCAAGTGCTTCAAAGAGAAGATGTTGGCATGCCACCATCATATATATATATATATATATATATATATATATATATATATATATATATTTCCTGGTGCTTGTGATATCACCTTTCAAATCTAACATCTTATATTAATACACATTTAGCTTTTACTTAGAAGTGTATGAGAGAAATCATAAAAAATGTGTTGTTTTCATTATCAACCATTTAAAATCAATGGTTTATCATAAGTCATTAATGCAAGTCCTAACTGTTGGATGACGCTTTTAAGACTGCAAAGTCTTTCTTAAGACTGCAAATTCTTTGTTAACAACAAACAAGGGGGAAAACAATTATATGTTTTGACATACGGAATTCTATTTTTATTCATACTTAGACTTGTGCAAATATGTGTTGGAGAGGGTAGGTCTGAATCAAATTCCTTCCAGTACATGCCTGAATTTATCGATGAATAAACTGTAAAGGTAAATTCAAGGCAGTCGTTATGTTTGATGTGGATTCAAGTTATGGTACCAGGCCAACCTCCCCAAACATTATTTTGCACAAGACTATTTATAATTAATTTCTCCTCTGCACATTTTTACTTTATTTTCAACATGGTGATAGCATGCAGAATATGAGAAAGAAAAAGAAATCCTACATGTGCTTTTAAAACATATATTTGAACCACAAATTTCTCCTAAACCAACAAAGCCCTTATCAACAATTAAGAAATGAATGGACATTTTAAGTCTTCCCCAGCAATTTGACCTGAAGCAGACTCAACTTTGACAACAGTCAATATGATTTATCACCATTTTACATAAACCTCAACTGTTAATTCACCCATACAATGACTGACTTGTACATGTTGAAATGTTGAAATGTTAGGGTTACATAAAAAAAAAAAAAAAAATATGATTGTGAATCTACTCCTTTTTTTCCCCACCTCTTCAAATCCACATGTTATGATAAATCAGTCCTGCTCTTATGTTGCCTGACCTGCTCAAATCCCTCCTTCAAATTAGAAATGTAAGATCAGACATATAAATAATATAGGAAAAATAGATCCTATTGCAGAATTTTAAAATCCCCACTTCAAAATGAAAACTTTGTGGCTGTTTTGGGAACACAAACGCTGTCTGGTGCGTTAGCATGGCAATTTTTTCCTAAAGCCAAATGGGTAGTGTATTGGCTCGTTGGTCTAGGGGTATGTTTCTCGCTCTGGGTGCGAGAGGTCCCTGGTTCAAATCCCAGACGAGCCCAAGCATTCTGTGTTTTTCTTTTGAAACACGTAGCTTCGAACTGTGTTTAATATAGTCAGCAAAAATAACTTATAGCAAAACCCTTCAAGTGCTTCAAAGAGAAGATGTTGGCATGCCACCATCAATATATATCAATATATATATATATATATTTCCTGGTGCTTGTGATATCACCTTTCAAATCTAACATCTTATATTAATACACATTTAGCTTTTACTTAGAAGTGTATGAGAGAAATCATAAAAAATGTGTTGTTTTCATTATCAACCATTTAAAATCAATGGTTTATCATAAGTCATTAATGCAAGTCCTAACTGTTGGATGACGCTTTTAAGACTGCAAAGTCTTTCTTAAGACTGCAAATTCTTTGTTAACAACAAACAAGGGGGAAAACAATTATATGTTTTGACATACGGAATTCTATTTTTATTCATACTTAGACTTGTGCAAATATGTGTTGGAGAGGGTAGGTCTGAATCAAATTCCTTCCAGTACATGCCTGAATTTATCGATGAATAAACTGTAAAGGTAAATTCAAGGCAGTCGTTATGTTTGATGTGGATTCAAGTTATGGTACCAGGCCAACCTCCCCAAACATTATTTTGCACAAGACTATTTATAATTAATTTCTCCTCTGCACATTTTTACTTTATTTTCAACATGGTGATAGCATGCAGAATATGAGAAAGAAAAAGAAATCCTACATGTGCTTTTAAAACATATATTTGAACCACAAATTTCTCCTAAACCAACAAAGCCCTTATCAACAATTAAGAAATGAATGGACATTTTAAGTCTTCCCCAGCAATTTGACCTGAAGCAGACTCAACTTTGACAACAGTCAATATGATTTATCACCATTTTACATAAACCTCAACTGTTAATTCACCCATACAATGACTGACTTGTACATGTTGAAATGTTGAAATGTTAGGGTTACATAAAAAAAAAAAAAAAAATATGATTGTGAATCTACTCCTTTTTTTCCCCACCTCTTCAAATCCACATGTTATGATAAATCAGTCCTGCTCTTATGTTGCCCGACCTGCTCAAATCCCTCCTTCAAATTAGAAATGTAAGATCAGACATATAAATAATATTGGAAAAATAGATCCTATTGCAGAATTTTAAAATCCCCACTTCAAAATGAAAACTTTGTGGCTGTTTTGGGAACACAAACGCTGTCTGGTGCGTTAGCATGGCAATTTTTTCCTAAAGCCAAATGGGTAGTGTATTGGCTCGTTGGTCTAGGGGTATGTTTCTCGCTTCTGGGTGCGAGAGGTCCCTGGTTCAAATCCCAGACGAGCCCAAGCATTCTGTGTTTTTCTTTTGAAACACGTAGCTTCGAACTGTGTTTAATATAGTCAGCAAAAATAACTTATAGCAAAACCCTTCAAGTGCTTCAAAGAGAAGATGTTGGCATGCCACCATCATATATATATATATATATATATATATATATTTCCTGGTGCTTGTGATATCACCTTTCAAATCTAACATCTTATATTATTACACATTTAGCTTCTACTTAGAAGTGTATGAGAGAAATCATAAAAAATGTGTTGTTTTCATTATCAACCATTTAAAATCAATGGTTTATCATAAGTCATTAATGCAAGTCCTAACTGTTGGATGACGCTTTTAAGACTGCAAAGTCTTTCTTAAGACTGCAAATTCTTTGTTAACAACAAACAAAGGGGAAAACAATTATATGTTTTGACATACGGAATTCTATTTTTATTCATACTTAGACTTGTGCAAATATGTGTTGGAGAGGGTAGGTCTGAATCAAATTCCTTCCAGTACATGCCTGAATTTATTGATGAATAAACTGTAAAGGTAAATTCAAGGCAGTCGTTATGTTTGATGTGGATTCAAGTTATGGTACCAGGCCAACCTCCCCAAACATTATTTTGCACAAGACTATTTATAATTAATTTCTCCTCTGCACATTTTTACTTTATTTTCAACATGGTGATAGCATGCAGAATATGAGAAAGAAAAAGAAATCCTACATGTGCTTTTCCAACATATATTTGAACCACAAATTTCTCCTAAACCAACAAAGCCCTTATCAACAATTAAGAAATGAATGGACATTTTAAGTCTTCCCCAGCAATTTGACCTGAAGCAGACTCAACTTTGACAACAGTCAATATGATTTATCACCATTTTACATAAACCTCAACTGTTAATTCACCCATACAATGACTGACTTGTACATGTTGAAATGTTGAAATGTTAGGGTTACATAAAAAAAAAAAAATATATGATTGTGAATCTACTCCTTTTTTTCCCCACCTCTTCAAATCCACATGTTATGATAAATCAGTCCTGCTCTTATGTTGCCCGACCTGCTCAAATCCCTCCTTCAAATTAGAAATGTAAGATCAGACATATAAATAATATTGGAAAAATAGATCCTATTGCGGAATTTTAAAATCCCCACTTCAAAATGAAAACTTTGTGGCTATTTTGGGAACACAAACGCTGTCTGGTGCGTTAGCCTGGCAATTTTTTCCTAAAGCCCCATGGGAAGTGTATTGGCTCGTTGGTCTAGGGGTATGATTCTCGCTTTGGGTGCGAGAGGTCCAGGTTCAAATCCCGGACGAGCCCAAGCATTCTGTGTTTTTCTTTTGAAACACGTAGCTTCGAACTGTGTTTAATATAGTCAGCAAAAATAACTTATAGCAAAACCCTTCAAGTGCTTCAAAGAGAAGATGTTGGCATGCCACCATCAATATATATATATATTTCCTGGTGCTTGTGATATCACCTTTCAAATCTAACATCTTATATTAATACACGTTTAGCTTTTACTTAGAAGTGTATGAGAGAAATCATAAAAAATGTGTTGTTTTCATTATCAACCATTTAAAATCAATGGTTTATCATAAGTCATTAATGCAAGTCCTAACTGTTGGATGACCCTTTTAAGACTGCAAAGTCTTTCTTAAGACTGCAAATTCTTTGTTAACAACAAACAAAGGGGAAAACAATTATATGTTTTGACATACGGAATTCTATTTTTATTCATACTTAGACTTGTGCAAATATGTGTTGGAGAGGGTAGGTCTGAATCAAATTCCTTCCAGTACATGCCTGAATTTATCGATGAATAAACTGTAAAGGTAAATTCAAGGCAGTCGTTATGTTTGGCTGTGGATTCAAGTTATGGTACCAGGCCAACCTCCCCAAACATTATTTTGCACAAGACTATTTATAATTAATTTCTCCTCTGCACATTTTTACTTTATTTTCAACATGGTGATAGCATGCAGAATATGAGAAAGAAAAAGAAATCCTACAAGTGGTTTTCCAACATATATTTGAACCACAAATTTCTCCTAAACCAACAAAGCCCTTATCAACAATTAAGAAATGAATGGACATTTTAAGTCTTCCCCAGCAATTTGACCTGAAGCAGACTCAACTTTGACAACAGTCAATATGATTTATCACCATTTTACATAAACCTCAACTGTTAATTCACCCATACAATGACTGACTTGTACATGTTGAAATGTTGAAATGTTAGGGTTACATAAAAAAAAAAAAAAAAAAATATGATTGTGAATCTACTCCTTTTTTTCCCCACCTCTTCAAATCCACATATTATGATAAATCAGTCCTGCTCTTATGTTGCCCGACCTGCTCAAATCCCTCCTTCAAATTAGAAATGTAAGATCAGACATATAAATAATATTGGAAAAATAGATCCTATTGCAGAATTTTAAAATCCCCACTTCAAAATGAAAACTTTGTGGCTATTTTGGGAACTCAAACGCAGTCTGGTGCGTTAGCATGGGAATTTTTTCCTAAAGCCCCATGGGAAGTATATTGGCTTGTTGGTCTAGGGGTATGATTCTCGCTTTGGGTGCGAGAGGTCCCGGGTTCAAATCCCGGACGAGCCCAAGCATTCTGTGTTTTTCTTTTGAAACACGTAGCTTCGAACTGTGTTTAATATAGTCAGCAAAAATAACTTATAGCAAAACCCTTCAAGTGCTTCAAAGAGAAGATGTTGGCATGCCACCATCAATTTATATATATATATATATATATATATATATATATATATATATATTTCCTGGTGCTTGTGATATCGCCTTTCAAATCTAACATCTTATATTAATACACGTTTAGCTTTTACTTAGAAGTGTATGAGAGAAATCATAAAAAATGTGTTGTTTTCATTATCAACCATTTAAAATCAATGGTTTATCATAAGTCATTAATGCAAGTCCTAACTGTTGGATGACGCTTTTAAGACTGCAAAGTCTTTCTTAAGACTGCAAATTCTTTGTTAACAACAAACAAGGAGGAAAACAATTATATGTTTTGACATACGGAATTCTATTTTTATTCATACTTAGACTTGTGCAAATATGTGTTGGAGAGGGTAGGTCTGAATCAAATTTCTTCCAGTACATGCCTGAATTTATCGATGAATAAACTGTAAAGGTAAATTCAAGGCAGTCGTTATGTTTGGCTGTGGATTCAAGTTATGGTACCAGGCCAACCTCCCCAAACATTATTTTGCACAAGACTATTTATAATTAATTTCTCCTCTGCACATTTTTACTTTATTTTCAACAGGGTGATAGCATGCAGAATATGAGAAAGAAAAAGAAATCCTACATGTGCTTTTCCAACATATATTTGAACCACAAATTTCTCCTAAACCAACAAAGCCCTTATCAACAATTAAGAAATGAATGGACATTTTAAGTCTTCCCCAGCAATTTGACCTGAAGCAGACTCAACTTTGACAACAGTCAATATGATTTATCACCATTTTACATAAACCTCAACTGTTAATTCACCCATACAATGACTGACTTGTACATGTTGAAATGTTGAAATGTTAGGGTTATTCAAAAAAAAACTTGTGCATATGATTGTGAATCTAGGGAAGGTTTTCCCCACCTCTTCAAATCCACATGTTATGATAAATCAGTGAATAAACTATGTTGCCCGACCTGCTCAAATCGTTCCTTCAAATTAGGATGTAAGTTCAGACATAGGCCAATAATATTGGAAAAATAGATCCTATATGCAGAATTTTAAAATCCCCACTTCAAAATGAAAACTTTGTGGCTATTTTGGGAACACAAATGCTGTCTGGTGCGTTAGCCATGGCAATTTTTTCCTAAAGCCAAATGGGTAGTGTATTGGATCGTTGGTCTAGGGGTATATTTCTCGCTTCGGGTGCGAGAGGTCCCTGGTTCAAATCCCAGACGAGCCCAAGCATTCTGTGTTTTTCTTTTGAAACACGTAGCTTCGAACTGTGTTTAATATAGTCAGCAAAAATAACTTATAGCAAAACCCTTCAAGTGCTTCAAAGAGAAGATGTTGGCATGCCACCATCAATATATATCAATATATATATATATATATATTTCCTGGTGCTTGTGATATCACCTTTCAAATCTAACATCTTATATTAATACACGTTTAGCTTTTACTTAGAAGTGTATGAGAGAAATCATAAAAAATGTGTTGTTTTCATTATCAACCATTTAAAATCAATAGTTTATCATAAGTCATTAATGCAAGTCCTAACTGCTCAGATGACGCTTTTAAGACGGCAAAGTCTTTCTTAAGACTGCAAATTCTTTGTTAACAACAAACAAAGGGGAAAACAATTATATGTTTTGACATACGGAATTCTATTTTTATTCATACTTAGACTTGTGCAAATATGTGTTGGAGAGGGTAGGTCTGAATCAAATTCCTTCCAGTACATGCCTGAATTTGTCGATGAATAAACTGTAAAGGTAAATTCAAGGCAGTCGTTATGTTTGGCTGTGGATTCAAGTTATGGTACCAGGCCAACCTCCCCAAACATTATTTTGCACAAGACTATTTATAATTAATTTCTCCTCTGCACATTTTTACTTTATTTTCAACATGGTGATAGCATGCAGAATATGAGAAAGAAAAAGAAATCCTACAAGTGGTTTTCCAACATATATTTGAACCACAAATTTCTCCTAAACCAACAAAGCCCTTATCAACAATTAAGAAATGAATGGACATTTTAAGTCTTCCCCAGCAATTTGACCTGAAGCAGACTCAACTTTGACAACAGTCAATATGATTTATCACCATTTTACATAAACCTCAACTGTTAATTCACCCATACAATAACTGACTTGTACATGTTGAAATGTTGAAATGTTAGGGTTACATAAAAAAAAAAAAAATATATGATTGTGAATCTACTCCTTTTTTTCCCCACCTCTTCAAATCCACATGTTATGATAAATCAGTCCTGCTCTTATGTTGCCCGACCTGCTCAAATTCCTC